CAGGATGGTTATGGAGACCTGCTCCTGCGTCTCAGTCTGCTGGGAACCATTGCCACGCGCGCTCCCTTCTGTCCTGGGGCGCAGACAGCACGAGGAGCACAGTGACTTCCATGTCAGCTCATCTGCAACAAACCTGTCAGAGTCTGAGCGAGTTCTGCCCCATTAAACCCTTGGTGTCTGCACATCTGTCCACTGGTTTCTTACTGGGCACCTGGAACTGCCAGCACCGAGGACCTGGGAGTTCACAGAGCTGGCCCGGGCCGTCTGCACCACTCGGAGCACCTGGGCTAATCCTGCCTGAAGTCCCTCAAAACCAGAGACCCTGACAGCGGAGAAGGGCGGGCGCAGAGCAAACCCCCGAGAAGGGAGGGAGCAGAGCAAACCCCCCCCCGCCTCATTCAGAAGGTTCCTTCTCCAGGGCAAGACACTTACCTGCAGAAGATGCAAAAGTCAGCACAACCACCCCACGCTCACACCTCCGCGCACAGAAACGGGGCAATGATCGAGGGCGCGTTCTCCTGCCTGCTGTTCCTCCCGCTTCCTGTCGCGGGTCAGTGTTTCTTGATCAGGGCAACAAGCAAAAAGATTCTGCTTTGCTTTTCCTTGGGGTTAGGGCGCAGGGTCAGAGGGGAAGGACAGCAGGAGCAGGGAACTCACAGCCACCGGAACAGAGACTGTCGCTTTTGCCCCTACATCAAGAGTTCTAGTCTTGTCACTGGGATAAAACCCGAAATGCAGAACGCATCCGGACACCCTATCGCCTATAAAAACGGGCCAAGCCGCTGCCAAGAGCCCAGCCTGTGGCGCAGCTCGCTTTCCACTTGAAAAATCTTCCTGACAGGTCGTTACAGGCTCAGGCTTCTAACGGCAAAAAGTATTTTTTTAAATTTAAATTATTGATTCATCACTTTCGTTTGATAAATCTCAAAAAAATTACTCCATTAGAAATCTGTAAAAAAAAAGCAGGATGTAGGGAGGGTAAAAAACTGAGCCTGCCGTTACAGATTTCAAGCTATATCACGACGACCTAGGCAGCCTCTGAGCTGGGTGCTACAGAACACGGGAGACAGGGCTGAACCTTCAACGTGAGCATGCTCAGGGCGGTCAGCAGGGAGCGGGACGTGGAGAAGCACAAGGAAATCAGGTCTCACAACGGCTGCTGCGTCATTCCCTCACTGAAAAATGGACACAAAACTTACTGGGATTTTCAGGCTTGGGTTATTTTTTTTTTTTTTCTTCTGGACAACAGATGCAGGGTTAATGCATGTTCCTGTCCCTTCCTCTCCCCCGTCCCCATTTCGAAGGATTTCGGTCACTATTCCAACCTCCACAGCAGCAACGGTCGTTCCGGGGTCGCAAAACCCTCCCCTCCTTACTGCGGTGATTTCGTCTGAGCATGCCCAGTAGGAATGGTTCAGAATTATACCAATCCACCTACGGAAAAAGCCAACACAGCTCCAGCTCCCACACCGCAGAGCTCACCAGTCTGCTGGAAGAGGTGGGGTGTGTATATGTATGTGTATGGGTGGCTACAGGGGCCTGGCACCACAGCCCTGCTCACTGGCCCTGCCAAACCACACTGGTATCGCGTTCCTTGAAGATACTGGTGTCCACCGAAACTCTACAAGTGTAATTAAATACTCAGTTTGCAAGGAGGACCACGTCCAGTGTCATAGGATGATGCAGCATCTGCAGAAGCGTTGTCTGCTGCCGCCGACCGAAGGCGGTGGAGTCACAGGCGCGAAGTAGGCGTGGACTTTAATGTTGGGTAAATGGGTCTGCAAAGACAGAGACACGGTGTCAAGCGACTAGTGACAAGGGCAGCGGCCGTGCAAGAGTCAGGTACAGACAGGCTGAGACAGGCCCCGCTTACTTCTCTTCAGACTAAAAACACACACATAAAAACTAGAGTCGGACTCTTTCTGTTCACCAGCGTGATTCCCCCACAGACTCTGGATTTCAAAGTTCTTTCTGTTACCAGCAAACAGAATCACAAGAAAAAATGATGGCTCTCTCCTCACCATCAGTCCTGTGGTAGCTGTGGGGAACAGAACACCACCTAACTGCACAGAGCCGTGTTCTCTTTGCAGACCAAGTGTTACCATCGCTCCTCTTTCACAGACGGAGAAACAGGCTCGGGAGGGACTCACGGGGACGCCGAGGGCCTGAGCTGGCCAGCAGCTACCGACAGCGCAGCCCTGGCTCCGTCCCACCCAGGGGCCACGCAGCCACCCCTGCACCAGACCGGCTCTGCTAGGACATGAGCTGGAGTTATCCACCTGGGAAGTGCCAGCGCAAAGCGGCCCAGGGTCTGCGCCGAGCACGCGGAGCAGCGGAGAGGAGGTGCCATTCCACCCGTCTGCTGCGGCACCGGCTCTGCGTCTCATGGCTGGAGGAGCACCGTCACGTACGAGCGCGTGTAAAACCAGCACCTGCACGTTGGGTCTCCTCTGCTCTTTCTGCTGCCACTCCGCAAACGTGGCAATTACCTCTCCTCCCTACCAGCCAGCGTTCATCCCCACCCAACCTTCTGACAGCTACTAATTTCATAGCTGATGGTTCTCACAATATTTTAAAGAATGAGCACCAGATGACAAGGAATCGGAACCCTCAGCCCTCCCTCCTCCCACCGGATAAAGCCTTCAACCCACAGCCTTGACAGCGGTTTGGGTTTGTTTTTTCTTTACCCTGAGTCTCTTGATCCCTGCCCGCGTGATTTGCTGGCAGTCGTACAGTTCTATCCTCTCCAAGCTGTGGCAGCTTTTCAGGTGCTCCAGGGACGCGTCGGTGATCAGGGGGCAGTTGTCCAGCTCGATCACTTCCAAGCGGTCGTGTGCGCAGGCGCCATTTCCCAAGTGACGAATGCCATCGTCCGTGATCAGCTCGCAGTGGGACAAGCTCTGCAGCCAAACACATCAAGTTAGCAGCCTCTGCCACCGGCAAACAGTGCCCTGCCGGGGAACGCGGCGGGACGAGAGAGACAGCGGCCCATGTTTCATGGGTTTGGACTGGTCTGCCACGCTGGTTTTTCAGACAGGTCTATGCTCCCGCCTTGCACTGGAGCCATGGCCGCGCTCCAGACTGCGGACGCTGAGCTCTGGGCCTCCGATGACCAACGCCTGTGAGGGGAAAACTCATGGCTGAGGAGCAACAGGAAAGGGCAGCTGCTGAAAGACCAGTGGGGCCAGGAGACAGGACGGCACAGAAACGGAATAAACACCTCTGCTATCAGAGCAACCATCTCTGTGAAACCTGTGGCCTTACACATCACGGGAAGGACCCTGCCACTGGGTCTAAGAACCAGCAGAAATACACCACTATGTATTTTTTTGGGAGGAGGCTGCATTTTAGAAGTTATAGAAACATAGAATGCCTGACCACTCTTTCAATAAAGAAATTTTTCTTAATATCCAATCTAAACCTCCCCTGATGCAACTCGAGGCCATTGCCTCTCATTCTATTGCAAGTTACTTGGGAGAAGAGACCAACACCCTGCACACTACAACCTCCTTTCAGGCAGTTGTGGAGAGCAAGTTCTTGAGAAGGACATGGGGCTTCACCCGGGAGGTAGCACCAGCCTGCTGCTGGGGGGCACAGCATGCGGAAGGGATGGCTGCACAGGACAAGCCACTGCCTGCGTTCCCCCACCTCCCAGGACAGGTTTTCTCACGATGGCAACAGAGCAGTACACACAGGGACGCAGAGGAGACCAAGACTAAATTCCCAGAAATTTAGGCCAAGAGGAACACGGCTTTCCAGAGCCAGAAAGCTTTCCGGGTCTCAGCTGCCCAGCCCCACACCACGGACGGGCAGGGCTGCAGTCCTCTCCTACAGCTGGACTGACAGCTCGGTTTGCAGACCGACTCTGCTAGGCTTGCTGAGGACAGCCACGGGCTGGTACCCGGAGAATCCATGTCCTATAATTCACTTTCGGGCAGCTGTGGGTGCCTGGCGTACGACTGATGCTAGCAGTAGGGGAGGGACAATAGGTTCTTCAGGGTCAAGTTTCTAGCTGATTTCTTCCAAGCCTTCCCAATGTGTCTATGAAGTCAAAGAGATGAATCCCCATGGGCAGAGCGTAAAATACCTTTGTTTATAGAAAGAAAATGCTGGAAGCCTCCCTTCTAATACTCACCAGAACCTGAAGCCGTGGACAGTGTATGGAAAGCTGGATTAGTGTACTGTCTGTTATCTGGAAAAAAAGAAAAAGCCCTTTCACGTCAGGTGCTTTGCACAAGGACTCTTCCCCCCCTACAAAAGAAAGTGCCAACTTTTGCCTAATCCGTGACAGCGTTCCCCACAGTTGCTCTCCTGAGCCCCTCAGGAACTCATCTCCTGCGTGACCAAATTTCAGACGTACAGATTCTTCCACTCCCTTACAGAAATCAACTCACATCCTTAAAGGACTGTTAAGACATAGGTACTGTTGGTTTTCTGAACTTCCTTAAGCACTTCTCATGAAATCAGCTCACGATTAAGAGAAGCAAGCGAGCAGACCTCTGTAACACCCCAATGCCTCCTCAACGTCTCTGAAGGCACAAGAGGTGTCCAAATCCCCTTCCAACAGCTTGGTGGGTTGCCAAATTGTTCCTCTTTATTATTCAAGAAGACAGACTCAACACAATGGCTCTCTAATCTAAAAGCATTCCGAAGCGAACTTGCTGAGCTGTCTTTGTTCAGGGCAGTCAGTCCAAGGACACAGCCCAATTTTTCTCCTTCCTTTTTTGGGTTAACTTTAAATCACTTCCTGTCTGGACTATTGCGATTTCCTCTTGCGATCTCCTGAATTTCTGCCCTGTAAACATCAGGAAGTACAGAATACCGGGGTCATGCTGTTCTCATGGCAGGAAGCTAAATCCTGTTATCTGCCCTGTCTTTACCTGAATTGGTTTCCAACCTATCCTTAGGGATAGGGATTTTTCATCCGACCTTGTGGCAATTCATTTTCCCCTGTAAACGCCACCTTGACACGGTTACCAGCTTACGGCACACACCCTACAGAACAGCGTGTCGTCGTCTATGAGGCCTCCTAACAGCTAAGGAAGACAGCCGCAGTGCAGGGTCCTAAGAGAGCCATCACCACCAGACCCATGACATCCCCCTGCCTCTGAGGAACGTTAACGGCAGCACGGGCACCCCAGCTTTATTTCAGGTTGCTGCCATGTCACTGTAAAATCACTGCTCTGCAGACAATCTGGCTATGTTTTTTCAAAACAGAGGCAACTTCCATTATTTCTAGCCATACACTCAGCACAAACCTTCCCTTGCCTTATGCACAAAGTTCTTACTCTGGGACTTTATCAGGTGCCAAGGGTCACAATTCACACACCTATCACACGACCTTCAGGCCACATTGATTACTAATATTTTTTTTTTATTATTTACAGCAGCAGTCATTACTATGCAACATGAACAAATGATCAAACTACCAAAGCAATATTTTCTTATGCAAATACACACGATCTTCTTGCTCAGGACTCTCAACCAAGCTCTCATCTGGAGACAATCTACTACTTTCCACCATCTTTCCACACTGCTGTGACTGTGCTAACAGAAAAAGAGCCAGAGGTGGCACCTCCTACCTGCACGCACTCTTCCAGGTCCATTTTTTCAAGCTCGTGGCAGTTCTGGGAACAAACAGAAGACAGAACACACCAACTAAGTGCAAAGTTCAGACAGCAAATATCAGCACAACTACAGTAAAGACAGTTCTTTTTTAAAAATTAAGATTTTTATCCATTATGACTGGAAGTAAAGCTTGCTGCTACTTTATGAACAGCACCAAGTATAGTAAAGGAAATGAAGCAAATTCACCCAGCAGGCACGGAGAGTTTTGTTATTCATAGAAAGTAAACGTAGTTAAATTTAGGGTCACTTGTATACAACACAGATTAATCTAGAAAAACAAACAGTGAAGTATGTAACAGTTCACACAGTTTGGATGCACACCCCGGGGTGTGCGGGGCAGGACAACGCCAAAAATTACATACAGCCTAATTTTTATAACTTCACTTCCCCTCAGACGTCGAGATCAGAAGCAATACAAAAATCTACATTCAAGAGAAAGCTACTGTTTGTTCATATCTATCACAAAAAGAAAGCAAAGACACCTGATGAAAAAGTGGAAAGGAACACTTACCCTAGCTAGAGTGGTGAAGCCCACGTCTGTTAGCTGAGAACACCTTGCAACTTCTAATATTCTGCACAGAAAGAATTGATAATCACCATGGTGGAGTCATTTCGCTTTTCAGAGTGTTTCATTAAAAGCAGCCAGCAACCCAGAAAAGTCTGACCCGGTTTAGGCTGTGCTCTCTGAGAGAAGAATTTGCACAGAGCATCCACCCTCTGTACCTGAGTGCAGGTCGCGGGGAGAGAAAACAAGAAGTCAGGCTAAAAGGGAACTCTGAGGGCTGTCCAGCCCGCGCCCCGCCACAAGGCAGCGAGGTCTGATCCGACAGACGCTGGACTAAGGCGCTCTTAAACACCTCGACTGCTGGACACTCCACAACTTCTCCAAGTGATCTCCTCTGGTTTCCACCCCGCATACAGACCTCAGTGTGAAAAAGGGTGCAATACACGCCAACCCGGCAGATGGGCATGAAAGAATAAATATTTAACGCCACGACAGCAGAGTCTGAAGCCTTCTACGAGGCGGACTGCTTGCTCCTGTGACAACGGATAAACTTTCTGGCAGGCAGCTACCGCAGCTCTGCAGAGCTTTGCTTCACAATGTGAACGTATTTGTCTACCTTTATTGAAAATAAAAAGCCAACTTGACCGAAGCATGTTCTGCATTTTACCGTATGGAGCTTAACACTGCAAAGCTGCAGCGGAACATGGACACAGAAACCATGTGGAACCGAAGTCAGGTTTTACCTTCCCCTCTCAAAACTGCTCTCCACACACTTGTGTGCTGCACTTTGTACCCACAGTTCTTTAAATGAGCTTATCACAGAAAACAGTGGTGGATTTTTCTTCCCCCAGAAGACACGTATTTTCTGCCATTTAAAACAGGCCACTCAGCTGTTACAGAAGTCGGATAATAAAGCTGTCGCTTCTTTCTGCACCTGGCCCTTTTCTAATTTATAGCGAAGTCTTCCTGAAGAAACTTGTCCTAATAAAAAAAAAAAAGTCTTAAAAAATGATAATAAAAAAAAGCAAGCACCTGCAGAGATGCTGCTGGAAGCCCACTCTGTCAAGCAGAGTGAAATTGCTAGCACAAATTCCATCTGCTACAAAATCATCAGGAAAACCCTGGTAATATCACATGTCAGGAGGAAACAATGTCATTTAAATGTGTTTTCAGTTCTCAATACAAAAGTAACCTAACCTCAACTGCTTTTCATAAAGCAACAAAGCAGATACACAATGGTGTAAAAGGAGACCGCCACTACGCGAGTCCATCGGCAGCGCACACCACCACGGCAGGGAGCTCTTCCAGCACCGTTTTACTTGCACAAGCTTAGAAACCAGAAGTTTGGGTAAAACGATGATCATCGCCCACAAAATGCCTGAAGAACGCTCAGTGACAAGAAGTGCACTTTCAGAACGACCCGCAGAGTCTGAAACGGCCCACGTATTACGCGAGCGTGTCGCCAAGATCCCCTGCTCAATGTGCCACGGGTCCCCGGCGCTGGGGTCGCTGCACGGCGAGAACTTACCGCAGCCTCGGGCAGTTCTGTCCCAGGGCGTTCAGGATGGCGTCTGTGATGTTAGAGCAGCCCGAAGCACACAAGGACTGTAACTTGTGGCACCCTCTGCATATTGTAATGAGACCATCGTCTGTTATTTGCTGCAAGAAAAACAACAACAACATCACAGGCCATAACCACGCAGGTGGAGGGGCAAGGCACTGCGCGCTTTCCTGCTCAAGACTCCCAGCCAGGCATCTCACTGGGGCCGAGCTCTGCTTCTTTCAACCCAAAAACACACTGCAGTATTTCACTGGAGCAGCTGACACAGGACAAGCCACACTGAAGTGACTTGTAAACATTCGGAAAGTGATTCCACATGCACGGAAATGTTTCTGAGCTCGGGCCACGTGAATGATGTGGGGGAAGGCACAGGAGCAGCAGGCTGAGACTCGGTCTCCTACCCTGGCTGCCAAGAAGGCCAATGGGATCCTGGGGTGCATCAAGAGGAGTGTGGCCAGCAAGTCGAGGGAGGTTCTCCTCCCCCTCTACTCTGCCCTGGTGAGGCCCCATCTGCAGTGCTGGGTCCAGTGCTGGGCTCCCCAGTTCCAGAAAGATGAGGAGCTACTGGAGAGAGTCCAGCGCAGGGCTACGAGGATGAGGAGGGGACTGGAGCATCTCTGCTACGAGGAGAGGCTGAGGCAGCTGGGCTTGTTCAGCCTGGGGAAGAGAAGGGTGAGAGGGGACCTTAGAAATGGCACAGGCACAAACTGGCTGGGGTGCTGTGCAGCCTGCTCTGGGTGACCCTGCTTGGGCAGGGGGTTGGGCTGGGTGACCCACAGAGGGCCCTGCCAACCCCCACCATGCTGGGATTCTGCGATTCCTGCCCTGCTTTGCAGCCCTTGCTTGTAAAGACCTTCCTGGCTGGAATTCAGGACAAGCAAGCACCTAACATCAGAGCTACCCACAAAATCAGCAGCAGGTTGTTTTCACAAACGGCCTTTTAAAAACACACTTCAGTGGCTTGGGACCAGAACCTGCACCGTCAGCGACAGGCTTACAGCCCCCATCACACCAAATTCACCCCATGGCACTGCAGCCCCGTCGACCCACGGTGTCCCCGGAGATGCAGGGGCCGTCCAGCCCCGCGTGCTCCGCTCACGAGTCTGGGATGGCAACAGGACAGGAATCTGCTCCACATGCTTCCCCGCATGAGCACAAGGGTCTGGGATTCAGCGTGGCTGTGTCGGGAGCCGCACGGGATCAAGCGCAACGCACGCAGTGGGACGAGGAAAGAGCGGCAGCAGGGGCTGTGCGTGCCGGAGGACCAAGTCAAACCTCGCTCGGCTCTCAGGTTCTGGGTTTCAGAGGCAGCCAGGCTCAATTCCGACGGAAAAGCACCAACCTAGGGACTTCTTTTAAAATACCAAACAGCAAGTCTGTGGGCAGGTAAGCCCAGGTGCTGGAGCGTGATGAAACAGAAGTACAGCAGAACTCGGTATTTTCAGTGAAGGCGATTAAGAACCTCATTAGTTTTCTTCTCCCTTCCGCCCGTTTTCCTCTCCCATTCCTGCCTCTCCCCCAGATGCCAGACGCAGGTCTGGAACTTGCTAATAGTCCGGCTCCTCCTTTGCAAGCACCCAGTCTCAGATGGACGGGCACCAGTCTTTAGCCAGTCTAGTAACTGGTAAAGCTGCTCCTTAAACAGGACTGGGAAGGGACAGCCCCGCAGCCCCCAAAGGGCTCGTCCATCTCCATGGAAATGGGAGACACTGGTCAGTTACTCACCGCATCAGACTAACTGCACGATGGTATGTACACAGAGCCCAGTCCGCTTTCTTTGTTGGCATAAATATACATTTTCGGCACTGCAGAATAACTGGTTTAGAGCCCTTCTGTGCATGGAAACTGCACTTCTCGGTTCAATTTTACAGAGAGAGCAGAGGAACTGCCTGGCTAGACCACCACACACACACTCCAGCCCAACGGAAAGAATTGTTCCAGCTAGTCCTGCAAATGAGTTTAGAAGCCCCGTGGGCAGGGCAGAGAGACAAACAATTCTGACACAGTGGATTCTGTGACACTGTTTCGAGGGCTTATTCAACATCACTGAATGCTATCAAAAATCTGGTTTTCATCCACTATGTTTTTAAAGTCTTGTAAATTTACAATTGCCCTGTCTGCGCAGCCGATGGCGCTTCTGGGCTGGAGCACGGTCTGCACAGCTCTGCTCAGAGATGGCCTCGAAACGCACAGTGACGGCGGCGCTGGGAAGTCAGGGGAAGCTTTACTTACTAAGCACGTTTGGAGGTTTAAAGTCACCAGCTCGGGACAATGCGCACCGATGTATTTCAGAGCTTCATCCTCAAGCTGGAAAGAAAAATTTAAGAGACTGAAGCAACCTGCTAATACTTGAGACAATCTTCCAAATAAAGCTTTGAGAACCATGAAGCATCTGCGGTTTGGGTACCTACAGGGGAGGAGGGCACTGCAGTCGCACAATGCAGAGCAAGATGTGCATGCCTTTCTTTTTTATCCCCCACCACCTCAGGAACAGAGTTCAAAGACCCACAACACTCAGTTACTGATTCAAAGAAAAGCTGGTCTGATCAAACATGTATAATTAACAAAGCAAGCAGTGAAATCAGAAACTATTTACAGGAATTACGGAAACGCCTCACTGGTGAGGAACTGTAAGTAACGCTATTTTTATACTGCAATACTGGAACTCAAAAAAAGAGTCTTCTTTCAACACGAGGAGCACAAACACATCCAGGTTGCTTTCTGATGATAAAAAAGCCTGCTATTCTTAAATCTATAAGAACAGATGGCAAGTAATTGATAACAAGGATGTATTGCCATCAATATTACTCACGACTCCATAAATTACTAGAAACTCAAGCTGTTTCTATGACCTGAATTCTCAAAATAGGCTGAGATTGTTATATCTTTAATCAAGGCATTTTTACAGCCATGTATACCCATCTCGCATATTAAATATCCAAAACTCCTGACTGTAGCCTTCACAGCTGGGCTTTCTTTGCACATGAGGGCATTACTGCTCTGTGCACATAACCAGCGTGTTACTGCTTTGCTCACCACAACAACCTTCCAGGACTTTCTGTGTCCTTTCTGTATCGTTGTAAAATCAAAACATATAGCTGTTTATCCATACACAGCAGACAAAAATGGCACTTACTGAGTCATACTTCAGGAATCCCTACCCCAAGGAAAAAAAACCATCAACATAAATCCAAAACAAGTAAGCGCTGCCCATGTTCAGGTGCAAGCACCCAACACATCAGAGATCATTCTCCAGGTCTGCCTCGAGGCTCTGAAAACCTCGGGAGTCTCCAGGTCACGCGTTTCAACTCCCGCAGGGTCAGTTTTACTCTCCTTTTTCAAGAGCAAGATTCTGAGATACACGTTTGCTCCTTTCTAGCCTGTCTTGTCTGCATTAAAAAGACCACAGCCCACTTAAGTAAAAAAAATGAGTCCCCACATTCTCTGTGACAGAGCTTTGCAAGGAGCTCTTGCTCACTAAAAGAGTAATGCTCAAGACTGATGTTCCCCATGCCTGTCATCACGGATCTAACTCCTTAATGAAGTTGTAATACAGGGAAATATTTAACATATTAAACTTTTCAATGATTCACCAGGTAAGACAGTAACGGAAGATTAAAGGAAGTTAAGTCCAAATAACAAAAAGTCTAACAAGGGGTCAGAAAAACCCCTTTCAGCTCTGTGGGTGCACCATTCACATATTCCGAAGCACAGGCATCATGGTCTCTGCAGGTTCTTCAAAACCTACTTCAGCTACTGTTGTAGCTGAAGAGCCACGCGATATACTCGAGGGACCGGCACCGTGCTCCCGACTGGCTGCAGAGACCTCTATTCCAGGAGTCACACACACCGTGACTGACTCTGACTAACCAGAAGGTGCAAACAACACGGAGAGGAAATTCTGTCACCAGCACAGACGAAAGCACTGTCACACTTTGCTAAAACTGTCTGAGCCTTCAGAAATGGATGGGTCTAGCCATGAATAACAAAGCCATCTCCTCTTTAAGAAAGTTTACTCAACGCGTTCCCGATGGGAAAAAAGAAGAATGATTCCACAGCGAGATGTGCAATTTGTTCACCGGCCCCCTATTCATGCTGAGCTCAAAGCTTTTAAAGAATTTCATAAAAGCAGTTAACCTCCAACAGACTAAGTAAGTTAGTGAGTAAATTCAGTAACCTAACATTTCTGGAAATAGAAAAATCCACAATACTTCATCGTTATACTTTCAGTTACTGCAGAAATAAGCCAGCTGTTCTGACTCCATCTGAGTACTCTCCGCAGAGCCGTACCTGCGTGCAGCCCTTCAGAAACAGGGCTCTGAGTCCCCCACAGCCTCTCACCAGCGCCTGGATGCCATCCTTCGTCACTTGGTCGCACCAGGAGATATTCAGCTGTTCCAGCAGCGGGCATCCCTCACTTAGGAGGCAAAAGGAAAAGCGGGTGGAAACTTGGTTTTGCTTTGGAAGGAAATCCTGCTTCAAGCCTGAGCCCAGGAAATTCCCATTTCTGGAAGCCCCACGAGCACAGACGTACACCCGCAGCCCCCACCCCCACGGGGAACGCTGCTGTCAAACATCATCTCCAGATGCGAAGAGCTCTCCGGAGGCAGCATCAGGAGCTCTAAAGCAGGGTACCAGTAGGGTAAAAGATGACCGATCTATCCCATTTTGGACACCTCCCAGCTCCTAAACAGCGTCTGTCCTCGTATACGGGCTTTCTGGATCCGAGTACAACCAAACCCCAAACCAGGGTCGATTTCTGCCACACTGCTTCTGACCTTGCAGGTGCAACTCTGCATTTGCAGATAGCTGCCAGTAAGAGTAACACTCAAGTGTAATCTGGAATCGGGCAGATACACATGCTATCATGTATTTAAGAAAGCTGCAGCACAAATTTGACCACGTGAAATTAGAGACAAGGATGAAGACCCTCAAGGGAAGGAAAACCAGGCTCAAACTACTTTAATGTAGCTACGAAAATAATTTAATCATTCATTTATTCTTTCAAATCTGTGTTTTCTTCTGATGCCTAGATGCATCCTCCAGTATTTTTTCCCCATGATACAGCTTTCCTCTATTTTCTTTTATTCCACTGGTACATCACTTTTTTTTTTTTTTTTTTTTTTAATAGCTTGACCTCTATTGTTACCTTTAGTGTTTTTTTTGCTTCCTTTTCTCTGTCCCAATATCTTCCCACCAATGTCTGTCTGTCCCTTCCTTTTCTAGATTACTTGGCAATTCCATTTAGCAGATTTAAGCAGCTATATGTCTCCTAAGCAGTTTAAAAAGACAAATAGTCACATGCCGGTGTTCGGCTTCTAGCTGTGTAAACAATTGCTAAGAACGCAACGGCACACTCACACCGAAGAGGCTGACTGTCAGTGAAAGAGCATTTTAAAAAGACAGACTAAGACTTTTGTCTCCCCCAAAATCCCTCCTCCAAGACTTTAATAGAATAGAATATTTTTTCTACTGCTAATAACCATCAGGACAGATACAACGAAGGCCAGCCCACGCCAGCCTCCTCCGAGGCCAGGAGGCGCGCGGGGCGATGGCGGCTCACACTATCTCAACTCAACCGTCAAAAGTCCGCGCTGTTGACTCCTACCTCAGGGCTTTCAGAGATAGGTTGGTTATGGAAGTGCAGGAAGCCAAATCAAGGTGCCTGAGTTTAGAGCAGAACTTACTGAGGCTGGTACACGTGCTGAAACAGAACATACAAGACGCGCTCATACAAAAGATTTATTCAAAGCCATCTACGTTTCACATGACCTGCATCATATTATCCACTGCACGCACAAGCCTGGCCTTCCCTTAACAGGGAGATGGAGAACATGCTACGGTACCTGCAGAAAAGGGGCTGGCAAGGCAAACGGGGATAAGAATGTTACTCACGCATCTGTGATCTTGGTGCAGCCATTTAGGTTCAATACTTCAATATTTCTGCAGTTCTGTGCAAATGTCCTTTATTAAAGAAAAGGGATAACAGTATTTTTCAGACAATAGATTTCCAGGTGGTTTTACAGCATTTGGTTTACCCATAACACATCAGACTCAATTTTACAAAGCTGTCTCAAGCAAAATAACTAAGTAAATAAATAAATAAAATAATTTATGCTGCCCTGTATCTTGCCTTGGGATTTCCCAGCCTACAGGCAAAAGCTTGCAAATCAGTGCCAACTACCACTTCGTCTGTAGTAGCAGCTGGTATTATTTTAATGACAATTGAGAAAAACGGCTAGTTTGTGAAGTTAAAAACCAATAAGTTAAAAAGGCTTCCATGTTACCGCTCTCCATGGTTTACGTTAGACACACAGGCTAAAGATCTCAGTTCCAAAGTGTTCATAAACTGTTCCAGCCCTCTGTGGCTGTAGAAGCTGAATCGTTCCTTCCATCACATTTACATGCAGAAAGAAGCCATACTACTACCTTAACGCGTTGTCTCCCACTCCCAGACAGCCACGCAGGCTCAGCTTCCGCAAGAAACCCCCGCATCTTTTAGAAATATTCTCAACTACTCGGCCCTGTCGGAGACAAAGAATTACATTACAATCCAAACGTTGCCTGAGCATTCAGAAAGTTGAATTCAAAACTTTGCAGATTAGTAACAGTTCATTATTCTAGGTAAAACAGTGCTAAGAAAACAAAAATAGCATGACAATAATCTAAGGCAGGGAGAGGGAGAATTATTCAGCTTCTGAAGATGGAGAGATAAGGAACGATTGCCTAAAGCCGCTCAGGCCAATGACTGAGGAACCTCCTCCGGTTCAGAGCTGCCAGACGTCGATACTACCCGAGACAGAGGAAAGAAGCCATGCCATTGCTACAACACAGGCAGCGCAGCTTACAAACGAGTGCACTCCACGTACTTATAAATGGACGTACTCAAATTCCTATTCAAAACAGAGATGAGGCAGAACCAGCCCATGAGTTTTATTCTAACAGGAAAAGAGATGAAAAAATTTGTGTTCAAGAGAGCTAGAAAAATGCTTTTGTAATTTCAAATTGGTACTCAGTGCAAGTGTCCAAAGACCCCACCACAAGCTAGCACCTACCCAGCTATTTCCCACTGTGAACAAAGTACAAAAACCATTGAGAGAACATTTGTCTCAGTGTCCAGAAGCTCGAAACCCTTCCTTCCCCTCTACGTCAGTCTACGCGATCGCTCATCACAGCACAGGAACGTCACTCGGTCCTTCAAGTGCTAGCTGGCATTTCAGGTCTCTGTAATGATGAAGAGATTCTTCTGTAATCTTTTTCCAGTCCAAAAAAAATACCGAGCATGAGGCTCGGCGCAACGTAACACCACAGTCAAGTGAGGGATGCCAGCTAAACCAGCTCCCTGCACGAGCACCTGGTGGAAGCAGCCGCTGGCTCACGGGGCTGCGGGAGCAGCTCTGCTCTGAAGCAGTCCATGTGCTCTTCGCAACTCCTCTAGCAAGCCTATGAATTCGTATGCCTGACTTTAAGGATTTAAACACATTTATCTAACATATGGAATGTACATTCCTTCAAAGCAAACGGCATGGAGGACATCAGAAAGTCTGGCAGGTTCTTTTAGGCTGGGTACAACATATTCAAGCATTTTGTTTGAAGAAGGGAAGTCCGTGCTTAAGCAAGAACGCACGTTTGATGTATAGAGTGGTGACAGAGAACAAAGAGACACTAAAACTATGCAAAAACCACTCAGGAATGAGAAAAGCCTGGTCTGCATTCACAGCACGCCTGCCTCCCTCCCTCCCTGCAACACCGGGCTGAGCAGCTCTGTCCACGCTCCTGCCACCTCCACGGACCAGGCACCACGGACAACCTTGCGCTACCTCTACAAAAGAAAACAACCCTTTGGGTCCAGAACTTTCAAGGCATGTTAAGAGATAAAAGTATTTATTATCAAGAACAAAAATCACACCGTTTACTTCCCTCAAGAAGTCTCCGGCCACTTCAACCCCTGCAAGGGTGCAGAAGTGACAGGGTCACAGGCCCGTCCCTTCAAGCAGCTGGCACAGAGATGATTTTAACCCTTTCCTCTACAAACGCGGTGCATCTCTCCCACCGCCTCCTGCAAGGTGTGAATCTTCACTCATCGTCCTGGCTTGTGCCTCTGCCTAACGAGCCAAAGTGATGCACTCCCTATCTCCCTCCTCCAACATGTCTGAAAGAGGCCATAACATTCCGATAAGGAACTTCAGGAGTTTTTTTTGTCTCCTGTCCCGATTAATGCAATTTGAATTTTCAGACCAGCACGAGAACAGCATCCACTCCTGTCAGTGCCGAGCAGTCCACGCCCAACAGATTTAGAACAGCGACAACGAAGCATTTCCAAAGCTGCATCTTTTAGGAACAATTTTGACCTCGTCCCCTCGAACAACCTCCGCTTACATTTCAATTTCTGGTATTAAAGACATACAGGAAAGGACAGGCGTATTCCAGACCACGTTTCCAAAGACATTCAGAGTCTTCACGGCCTCAGCCTGTGCTACGTTCTCATTTCTTTGACTGAAAGCAAAAGTAGCCTTGATCCTGCTGTCCAGAAGCAGCAGTAACATTCCACCAGGACGTACCCATTCTACTTACGTCTGTTTGCAGAATGCACATGGAAATACTTTCCTTCTATTCCTACCCTCAAGCCCTGATACAAATATACAATTCTGTCCATTTTCAAAAGCTGAATGGATTGCCCTTTTAAAGACTCCCTGAAGCTAAGAACAACTGAAATTAATGATTTCTATCTCCAGGGAAGGTAGAAAGGGCTACACCGGGAGTATTAATCCTTTCTAGGCTGTAATTACATTTTAACAAGAAAAATGGGTTTGTATGTCACTTAATTATACCTCAATATCCCTCTGGAAATCAAACAGGTCAATTCGCTGCCAGTTACTGCCATCCAGGGCCAGAACATTCCATGCCTTTATCAGGGGAAAAAACGTAAACGTGTTGTTAATATGAAAAAAAGCACCCGTGGGGACCTAGCTGCAGCTTGTTCCTTTCAGAAACAACATTCCGTCTCAGGTGTAAAGGCAACAAGTAATCACAGCCAACAGGGAAAACTGCAGTTACCAGAATGGCTTGCTTGGACACGAGTCCCCTCGCCTACTCGGCACGCTCATCCCACGTCCCCAAGCCCAGCTGGCCCGTGGTGCCCAGGATTCTGCTCCCCCGGCAGGCACCGACGCCGAGCCCAGGACAGGAGGCAGAGCTGGAGCGCGGCATCGTCACAGCCCTGGCTGGCATCTAATTCCCTCTGCAGCATCTCCAGCTAAACCAAGGCCTTTAGGGGATGCTTGTGGGATCAGAAGGAAGATGAAGGACACCAGGACACGGGCAATCCCCAGAGGAGACCCCACCCCAGGCATCTACACTGACCAGAGAAGCAGAGCTAGTCTGGGGGAGCGGAGGACGTGGTGGTGCTGGGACAGAGGACTGTGGCGAGGCTGCCATCTCGCACACCTTCTCTTTCCTCCAGCAGAAAGAGGTGTTCAGGGCAGTTCCACGGCCTGGTGCACGAGGTGCTGTGCCCCACAGATGGGGAAACTCAAAGCTTTGCAAGCTGTCCAGATAAAGCATCCAGCTCTGACCCAAGACCTATACACCACTGCCTGAGTGAGTGTTTACTACCTCCGATTTCAGGGTTTGTTGGTTTGGTTTTTTTTCCTAACAAACAATTTCATGTGGTTTATGCTAAAAACGAGAACCAGGAACTGAAAGTTAGTAATTTTGCCCTTAATGAATCAATAAGGGTTGTCAATGCAATACTACACTAGAAGTTTTAATTATATAGTCAAAGTAAACAACTAGATTTCATAATAACCATGAGTCCATCGTTACAAAAGAGTGCATGTACATGTATATGGGCATATTTTTACACTATCTATTACATGCACTAAGCTACATCTCCATCACAATATCCTGTTTCTTGCGCAAGCCACGTACAGACATCAAACAGTCAACAGAACTGTAAGCAGTCATTGATTTTCTGCATTTTAAATCTCATTGCTAGTATTTGTTTTAAGGTCTAGTTATCGCCATGAGAAAAGTACTAGCTCCAGTGGAAAAGCAATGCATCGGCGGATGCGAGCTGTAACACAGCATATTTTCATGTGTAACGTCGGGAACGTTGCACACAGCCTTTCTGCAGCTCTGTGCGGACACTTTGGTCCTTTACGGTACATACGGTGTTGCACAATGACTGACACGTTCTCCGATGCCCTGCGGACTGTGTAAACAGGAACAAGCAACAAAAACGGGAGTACACCTTGACACTGGCAAGTATCTTTGGCAGCCCGTTTTGGTCAGTACTGTTCTGCTGGAGCAGTGAATTTCAGTTGGAAGATCGCTCCCTAGAAGAACTGTGCTGTTCAGAGAACATGGGATGATAACCGTAATGCCTAGACATCACACAGGCTATTTTTTAATGCAATTAAAAAAATGTTCAGGCATAGTCTTTCTTTACTTGTATGTACTCTGAATACTGAAACAAGTTATGGTGCAAGTTTGAACCCACGGCTGATCAGTTTTGTAGGGGTGTCAGTTGCCACCGGCTCTGCCAGTACAGTGAATACACCACTACAACCCCCCTCCCGTGTGACCGACTGTCCCCTCCCACTCTAGTGACGGCTCCGCTGTGTGTCTGGCTGGATACTGGCAGGATAAAGCATCCGAACCAATCTGGCAGCTCCAGATAACCGGACCGGCAGTTGGAGGAACTTTCCCAAGCAAATAATCCAAGCTGCGTTTCATTAGCTGAAGCCCACAAAACTACGAGCTACTAAAGGAAAAAAACAACCCTAAACAAACCAGACGCTTATTTTTTTCTTCCGTGTTTACTTCAACTCCATCCAAGTAGGAAAATAAACTGTCCTTGACTGTGCAGCATCTTTGTGCATCAAAATGTCTCCATCTCCACCAAAACCCACAAGATGCCATCTGAAACTCATCCAAGCTGGGTATTTTCATCAGCGCAGGCCTCCTGTACAAACCCAGGCTAAGTGGAGAATTTTTGGGCAAAAAGGCAGCCGCTTCCCCTGCGTAACCTGCTCAGGGCCTGGGACACTGGGAAAATGGTATCCGAGTCCCCCTTCACCGACGCTGTCAGAAGTTTCGGGTATTGCGGTGTTAATATGGGACACTAAATAACAGCAGTTGAGTTGCAAAAGCTCCCCGGTCCCAATCCTCCCAGTCTGACAAGCTAGGGAAGGCTGGAGCGAGAGGTCTGTCACCCAGATCCAACCCCCTGTTCAATCCACCAGCAAGGAGGAAGGTGCTTACCCTGGAAACTTGAGCGCAACGACACAGAGTGACCACATCCAGGAAAGAGAAAATTCTGCAACAGAAACAAGAGATACCTTATTGGTTATCTACAAATAAAACAAAGAGAGTGGAAAACAAAGGGGGGGGGGGAAAAAGACTGGAGAAGCAAAACGTCTTTGTAATTCAGTTGAAAGCTGAACTGTGAAAAGAAGCGCAGACCTGGCAGTTAACAAAGGACAGCACAACACAGATACCGAGTTGCCGTGAAGTATTAAACTCACACCTTGTAGTATTTACTGACAGTAAATTCAATGATCATTTATCAAATCAGATGCTGACAGGTATTGTGCAGCTGAACAAGTGCTGAGTCAAGCCAGGGCATGGCAGAACAAGCCGCCACGCTGCGCTGCTTTGGCTCCCACTCGACACAGGAGCATCGCCGCGCCCAGCGCCGCGGCTCAGCAAAACCAGCACCTCCAGCAACCGCTCCCCACAGCGGGCAGCGGAATAACGAGCAGTCCACAGACCCAAGCGACACGGCAGCCCGCTTTCAGCGCGTGGCTTATTCTTTCACACGGCTGTGCTAAATCTGAAGTGTCATTCACGCGGAGGTGGGAGGAGTGTTTTGCTTGGCCCAGCCAGGCGACGCGTTCCATCGTGTCGGTGTAGCGTCTAGCAGAGAGGCACTGAGAACTAAGCCGACGCGGTCACTCCTCCGCCGTACGTCACTCCTCTGCCAGGGCGGGTTCAGGCCCACGCCCCGGTGTTGCTGTCCTATTTACTGGGATAAAGGCATTAGACAGTAATGCTTTGCAATGCTATGCTGGGCTAAGGCATCTGTGCATTTATCTAGGCATATACACCCCTGCCTGTGAACGCAGGAGGCACCAAGCCCGTTTACAGCTCCGAAACGTGGACCAATTCATCAATATAGTTATTTTATGGTTTACAGTTATTCAAAACAATCATATGCCGCCAAACACAGAAGGGCAAGCAAACAGCAGCAAGGCAGTAAGCTCTGTCTTTGACAGCAATTATAAAGCCGCAGGATGAAATGTTTTTTCACAGATAATACAGTGTTTGACTACAAGAAAACACTGGCACACACTATTTAATACTTTAAACTTGAAGACCACCAGAAAGAGAAGGCAAACGTTATCAGATGAAAGCGTTAAAGGTTTGGGGTAATCAATTTTCTTCCAATGCCATACACTATTTCACAAAATGCTCTTGTCATAAAGTAATGGTTGTTCAGGAGAAATTCTGAGAACAAACAATATTCCACTGCTCCAAATCTCTCCAGACTTTCTCCAGAGAACAGCGTACGCCCACGTTCGCAATTGTGTGGATACCTGCAACACTTCAGCCATCCCCCCACAAGTCCAGGGGCTGGAGGGGGAAGCGTACGTAAGCTTTCCTACTTTCTTAGCGGACCTGCCTGTGCTGGAAGAGGCTCAGAAACGAGATGTTGCTGGCAGCATATTCCTTTTGTGTGACGTATAAACTTCACAAACACCCTGTACTAAGGTGTTACGGAAACTCGAATATACAAATCAGAAAGCTGCACGATGTGTTCATCTCCCCAGGTGAGTACAAAGATCACATCTGAACAAACAGCCCAGATCCTGCTAACGCTGGGGGAAGAGGTGCTGAGAACAGCGAACAGACGTCGTGTGCATCACGGATACACCGCACTTTGTCCCGGAGATAAACGGCGAGGCATTATCCAGGCTTTTGCTACTGACACCAAGTTTTGTACGCACGTCAGTACGAGCTGCACACCTCCACAGACACCCACGCGTTTGTACATTGTTATACACAAGTCACAAATCCTGGATTTTCAAATTTAAGGCAAGGACACAAGCAAGGCTGAGATGATGCGATCCAACCACTGCACGACCAAGCTCCCTTCACTAGCAGGCAGATAAAAAGCACTTTCGAAACATCGATGTTGGTGGAAAAGAAAAGGATGTTACCGACAGCAGATGAATGCAGATTGTTTATCACCACACTGATGCTTACAGGTATCCCGTAGCTGAATGGCCAAATGTTCAGGTAAGCCAGGGTACAGCAGAATAAACAGCCACACGCCTTCCTGTGCTTCCATACTGCTCAAACGCTCACAGATACAAGGACCCTGGATCGAGCTATGTCTCATCTGCTCCTGCTGCATCTCAGCGTGGGACAAAACTCACAGTGACCTGCTTGGATACACGCAGTTCAGAGGTCTGCAAAAGAGCTACTATGCATTTCACCTGAAGACTATTCCAGGAACCCGCTTCTCGGTTTCAGCAGCAGTTCCGTACTCGCTTTCAGCTGCTTATAGACAACTCCTCCCCTTGAATGAAATGTCATTTATTCACCCATGTATGGGAGCACTGAGGATTTATTTAGCACAATGTCAATGTACAACAATACAAGGAAAGCCAAGGGAAATGATAGAAGCTAGGGGAAATTCTTACTTTCACCCTAGATTCCCATCATAGGAGCAAAAAACCCACCAAACTCCATGGGAACAGCAGCTAGGTCAATAACTACGTAAGCTTTCTATATTTTGACTAAAATTGCTTTCTCCACAGAAATCCCAGGCTATTAATAACCATCTCATCCCTCTATCAGGGCTATTAGGTCTTGGCCGAATTCTTTCCTGCTTCCTGCTCCTCCCTTCCCAGTCTGCCCACAGAGCAGGAGGGATGCCAGCCCAGCAGAGCTCGCGCCCCGCTCGCCTCTGAGGTTCACACCACCGCGCCGCGCCACGAGTTCCCTCGCTGTCAAACTCCGAGACTTTGGCTCTGAAAAGCTTAAGAGCCTTTTCCAGTGTTTTCAGAACTGCTCTCTTGCTTGTTCAAGAATGTTCGCTAATGACTCAGCAGAATCAGACGGCAAAAATTAAATTACTCTTTCGGCAGCAGTCACCACGGTGCTGTGCATTTTGGTCATTTCAGAGCTCCCCATCAACTGGAGAGAATGGAAGGAGCCCAGTTACAATCTCACAGGCATCATGACCCAAGCTCAGTTTTCCAATGCAGCCCTGAGGACAGGCTTTTTGTTCTCCAGGGAGCTCTTTGGGAACATTTGAAAAAAACCCAAGCCACGACTGAGCAGAGGTTACCTTCCAACAGGAGCACGGTACCGGTCTGAGTCTCTTTTCAGCAATCTGTGCAGTATAAGAGAAAGCAAAGGTAACCGATATGTTCGCTTGAAATAATATGCCTTCTTGCTATTAGCCTATGGCTCAATTAAAACTGGCCATAACAACGAGGAAGCATTCTGGGCTGACAAGAAATTTGGATGACACTTAGCTAGTCAGCTCCAGACCCTCTCTCCGTAACAGAGGGCCAGTTCCTCCGGGAGTTGTTCCAAAGCACCAAATTCTTAGCAAATATCTGCTGCTCTGGTCGGATTCAGTTTATCTGGTAAAGAAAGCAGAGGACAGTAAGCAGCAGCAGGCTGACCCGTATTACCTGAATAATGGCTTTCCTGATTCGACGTTAACAGATCACAAGGCACAGAGCTGGGAGGTTTGTTTTCACACCCAGCAGACAGGATTTCTGCTCTGCTCACAGCTGACTGCCGGACTCTTGCACTGGGCTGTCTACTCTTCAGAGCTGACAGTAAGAAAATAATCCACACAATGACCTCATCATCAAACCGCGATCACAGGGGAAGGCGGACTGAATATTCCAAATAGGAATTAACACAAGTCTGGTATTGCAGCAGATTAAATGATTTCTCTGCAAAGTAACTCACTATGTTTAGGACTCTGTCTGAACAGCTCAGCACCAGAGCACTCAGCTAAAACACACGGCAGTTCGAGCATTTTTCAGGTTTCAACCTCTTAATCCACTCAGGGTTTACCAGGACTCCTCACTTTCCCACTCCACTCTAATTAGATTAGGGTCAAGACTCTAATGAAATCCCTGGATGCTGCGGGCTTTGAGGTGAGCTAGTTCAGGCCTTTAGCCTTCTAAAATTACCAACACCGATTTATGTCAGTGACCCACCATTCAAGCTACATCTCGCTCCGTACTCATTTCACGCCGATGGGCTGGCCAGAAACAGAGAAACAAGGACTTTGCCGCCAGCTCACCGGCACCCCACGCGCTCCGCTGCTTCCTCGTCCCGAGCAGAACTCAAGCTCCCGAGGAATAAACCAACGTGGGGCTGTGAAGGTCAGGTGGCAAAACCAGGGCCGGTGACTGGATGTGTTGAAAACAGGCTAGCAGGCAGCAGGAGGTGGCACGGAGTAAAAGCCGCTTACGCCAGGAGAGAATTGAAAACTGCTTGACCTGCCTGTGAACCAGTAAGGGGAAGACGAGCTCCTGCCTCCTGCTCCCCTTCACCCTGCCAAGCATAAGCCGTTTAGCAGCCCCACGTCACGCCGAGAGCAAACCATCTTCAGGAAGCCAGCAGAGACCACCACTGCCACAGAAAATCCAGGCTTGTGGTTGGGGTTTGGCTTCTAGACAAAAAGCGACCGGTGGGCAGTCCTCAAAGAATGACCGCACCTTTCCAACGGGGCATCATCCATGCCAGCACAGGGAAACGGGGACATGATGTGTCCCTTTCTGCCAAGAAAGCTAATGGGATCCTGGGGTGCATCAAGAGGAGTGTGGCCAGCAAGTCGAGGGAGGTTCTCCTTCCCCTCTACTCTGCCCTAGTGAGGCCCCATCTGGACTACTCTGTCCAGTTCTGGGCTCCCCAGTTCAAGAAAG